TAGTTTCTTTGCTACTCAAACCATGAAGTGTTTACATTTTTCCTTCTCTTTCTGTTTTTCTTGGTGAGACTCACAAGGTGCATATGCGTTTTGTTGTTCTTGTTGTTGTTTTATATGAGACAGGGTCTCACTCGGTTGCCCAGGCTGGAGAGCAGGGGTGTGATCATAGCTCACTGTTACCTTGAACCCACGGCCTCAAGTCCTGAGAAGCTGGGACTACAGGGTGTGCCACTATGCCCAGATACTTTTTAAATTTTTTGTAGAGACAGCATTTCACTATGTTGCCCAGACTGGTCTCAAACTCCCGAGCTCAAGTAATCCTCCTGTGTCAGTCTCCCAAAGTGCTGGGATTACAGGCGTGAGCCACCATGCCCAGACTTGTTTTTTAAGAACAAGCTATTGATTTTTATTTCTCAAATCTATGACTTTTCTGCTTCCTAACACATGAATTAGCCTTTTTTTGTCTTTATTAATTCCTTTGCAAGTGTCTTGAACTGAATGTGCAGTGATAATTGATGATAATACCAAATAATTTGTTTTTATTTTCTCTTGTTTGGTACTTTAGATCAGGACAGTTCCATGTGCAGTTTAGGGCCACATCCTGTGCAGTATGTGATGTTCTTCTTACTCAGTATTCTAATTATAGATTTTAGTTGTTTTGTGTTAACGTTTTGAAAGTTATTTTTTCCCATTGGTGGAGTGACTCACATTTTGTTACTGAACTCAGGTTTTATTTCACTGTGGTGAGAGAACGCTTACCTGCAGTAGATCTCTCTCTCTCCTCTTCTTCTCTCACGTTCTCACTTTCTCTGGGTCCTCACATATCATTGCTGGTGTGATTATCACTGGCTTGATTTTCTCCTTCATATTCCATTTGCCCTGCCCTCAAAAGAATACCAACTCACATCTGTCTAATATGTGTAATTAGGCTGGGCATGGTGGCTCACGCCTGTAATTCCAGCACTTTGGGAGGCCAAGGTGGGCAGATCACTTGAGGTCAGGAGTTCAAGACCAGCCTGGCCAACATGGTGAAACCGTGTCTCTACTAAAAATACAAAAATTAGCTGGGCTTGGTGGTGCACACCTGTAGTCCCAGTTACTTAGGAGGCTGAGACAGGAGATTCACTTGAACCCGGGAGTCAGAAGTTGTAGTGAGCCAAGATTGCATCATTGCACTCCAGCCTGGGTGACAGAGCAAGACTCCATCTCAAAAAAAAAAAAATAATAATAATACTATGTGTAATTAAAAGTATCTGTATCTTTTGAAAAATACATAGTGTTGCTGTGTGTGTTTTAGTTGGTATAAATTATATTGTGCTGTCTATTTCCTCCTGTAATTGTTTACCGAGGCATGTGAATTTGTTAAGATATTCACATTAAATGGTTTTATTCTTTCAAATAATTGCCCCATATATCCTATGTCAAATTTTCCTTCCTTCCCCAAATATCATTTTGGGCAGAGTTCATAATTTTTAGTCATTTTCAGTTATTAAATGCCTTGTCCCATAAAAGTTTCTATTTAAATTTAAACTTCACTTCAGGCCGCCCCCACCCCCCAATCTCTGGTGGTCCTAGGGATGAGGTGCCTTGCCCTGCCAGGAGGTCAGGAAGCTGGCCTGGTGTCATCTCCATGGTAAGAACATGGAGGCCTCACATCCCCCAACCCACTCTGCTTGTTATTTTCAAGAGCTCCTTAGGTATGTTAAAGATTGGCCTCTGGTTGGTTTTAGGCAGAGACAATGCCCTGTCTTAATTCATCATCTGTCTTCAGTGAGATTTGATATCCTTTACTGAACAGATAACCTTAGTTTTGCTGTAATCAAGCCTAACATGTTTCTTCATGTTTGCGAGTTTTGTTTTTGTTTTTTGAGACAGTCTTGCTCTCTGTTACCCAGGCTGGAGTGCAGTGGCACGGTATGGCTCACTGCCACCTCAACCTCCTGGGCTCAAGCGATCCTCCCACCTCAGCCTCCCAAAGTCCTGGGATTACCTGTGTGAGCCACTGCACCCAGTAGACTCTTATTTTTAAAAGTATACGTCATCCCAAGTCATAAAAGCATGGTCCTATATGCTTTTGGTTTTGGTTTTATTTTTCATTTTAGAAACAGGGTCTGGCTCTGTTGCCTAGGCTGGAGTGCAGTGACACGATGATCATGGCTCACTACAGCCTGGAAATCCTGTGCTCAAGTGATCCTCCCCGCTTAGCCTCCAGAGTGGCTGGGACTAAGGTGCGTGCCACTGTGCCTGGCTGATCTTATGTTTTGTGAAGGCAGGGCCTCACTATGTTGACCAGGCTGGTCTCGAACTCCTGGGCTCGAGTCATCCTCCCACTTTGACCTCCCAGAGTGTTGGGATTACAGTGTGAGCCACTGTGTGCTGGTCTTGTTTTAATTAGCTCTATCATTCTTACTTTTCACATTCAGAGTTTTCATTCCTCTGAAGATTTGTTATGATAGGGTACAACTTCCCTCTTCTCTGTCTGGTGAGCCAATGTAGCCATCTACTACAGACCCCTTATTTCCCGCAGACTTGATGCTTTGTGTAACGTGTGTCAAGTGTCCTCCCGGGTAGGCATCAGGTTACGGGCTTGGCATTGCCCCCACTGGACTGTTTTTTTGTTTCTATGCCATTACCCCACTATTTCTATAATTATAGCTTTCTTATCTTTAATTATATTTCTATAATTATAGTTTTAAAATACGTGTAACCATCTGGTAGGTCAAATCAGCCCCCAACCTGTCTTTCCTTTCTCAAAGCCATTCTAGAATTTAAGGATTATTATCCTTCAATATCAATTTTAGAATCAATTGGCAAGTTCCTGAGAAAATCCTGCTAGCGTTTTAACTGGAATTGCTTTGAGAGATTAATGTCTGAAGAATTGACATTGTTCTAATTTTTAATGCTTTTACTCTATGTTGAATAGACAAAATGTACTTATAAAACGTCTATGGAGAATAAAGAATAACATTAGCAACATCCTTGAACCCACCACCAAACCTAAGAAAGAGTCCCTCACAGACCTGTGAGAGCTTCCCTCTGGTCATTCCTGCATCTCAAGCCTCAAAGGCTCTGACTCTGCCCCAGTTATTCTGCTGGCTGACATTTTCTCATGGTGCCTCCACTTCCTTGTGTGCTGCGCAGTGTTTTGAGGAGTGAGGACCTGTTCCTTAGAGTGTTAACCGTAGGACTACCCTGAGGTGTGGCTTGAAAGATTGGTTTCTCCAGACAGAATCTATGTTTGCTTCTGCCAGGTGCCTGCAGGTATGACCAACCCAGCATCATTTTATTTATTTACTTACTTTTAAGTTCCGGGGTACAAGGGTACAAGTGAAGGTTTGTTCCACAGGTAAATTCCTGTCATGGGGGTTTGTTGTACAGATTATTTCATCACCCAACTTTTAAGCCTCATACCTATTAGTTGTTTTTCTTGATCCTCTCCCACCTCTTACCTTCCCCCATCAAGTAGACTCCACTGTCTGTTCCCTTCTTCGTGTTCATGAGTTCTCATCATTTAGCTCCCACTTATAAGTGAGAACATGCAGTGTTTGGTTTTCTGTTCCTGTGTTAGTTTGCTAAGGATAATGGCCTTCAGTTCTATCCATGTCCCTGCAAGGGAAATGATCATGCTCTTTTTATGGCTGCATAATATTCCATGGTGTATATGTACCACATTTTCTTTATCCAGTCTGTCATTGACGGGCATTTAGGTTGATTCCATGCCTTTGCTGCTGTGAATATCGCAGCACCACTTGAAACCACATCCGGCCTTGGCTCAGATTTTTTGAACCACCCAGACAGTGTGAAGTCATGTTGTGAGTTCATACGAGGGTGAGTTTTGAGTTCACCCTCACTCTGAGGGTGTGGTCATTTTTTGAAGGTATAACTTTTAGCAGGAGGTCTGCTCTGAGGCTTCTCTCCTTAGTGAGACCCTGGGTTTTGTCTTTTTTCTCCCAAAGCCATGAAGAAGGCTATGAAGACTGAAGCTCAGATTTGCTGGGTTTGACAAAGGGCCTTGGTGGCAAAAGCTGTCGCCTGGGCTCCACTGACATCTCTATATTCTAGCCCTCGTTTAGGTTTTCGTCTTCAGTCTGAAGAGTCTATTTTTTTTGCTAATTTGACCATGCATTTAAAATAATATACTTTTTTAAATCTCACATTTGTAGTTATCTTTAGCAATAAGGTTGGTATCTTGTCTTCCATACTGCAGGAAGCCAAATGGTGAGAATTGACATTTTCCCATTGTTTTAAGTTGTCTCATCTTTGAAAAACAGTATATCTGCACACTGACGTAGGTCTTTCCTTACATTCTTAGGTACTGTTTATTACTTTTTTTTAAAGAGTCTTATGTATTCTTCCATTAGATTATGTCCTGTAAATCTTGGTGTGCATTATGTTTTAAAAATAAATATAATGAGTTGTTTTTCTGATTTATAAAATTTTCCAACATTACAGAAGAGTGTAAAGAAAATTTTTTAAAAATCCTAAGAAACCCACTATTGCCAAAATAACAGCTATGCCCTTTTCATGTATGCTATTCTTTTTTTTTGTTTTTCTTTTTTTGAGACAGAGTCTAGCTCTGTCACCCAGGCTGGAGTGCAGTGGCTCTATCTTTGCTCGCTACAACCTCCGCCTCCCAGATTCAAGTGATTCTCCTGCCTCAGCCTCCCGAGTAGCTGGGACAACAGGCGTGTGCCATCACACCTGGCTAACTTTTTTTTTTTTTTTGTATTTTTAGTCGAGATGGGGTTTCACTGTGTTAGCCAGGATAGTCTCAATCTCCTGACCTTGTGATCCGCCTACCTTGGCCTCTCAAAGTGCTGGGATTACAGGTGTGAGCCGCCGTGCCCAGCTGATGTATGTCATTTTAAACAATCTTCTTTTCTGTAAACCTCTGTTTGCACAAAAAAGGGAGAGCTGGTTTGCATTTCGAACAGCTCACTCTGCAAGCAGCATTTCAGGAAAGAAAAAGACCAAGGGTAACAGCCTTGGAGGTCCACCAGGATTTAAGGGGAAGGCAGAGGAGGGGATGGGAGTTAGGGTCAGAGTTAGCAGGAAAAGGAAGACAGAGGCCAGTGTGGTCCAGTGCGGAGCTTGTGTGCCACAGAGCTCATCCTCAGGCACAGGCTTAGGCCAGGGAGGTCCTTCTGCTGCCATCCTTATGCCACCCTTCCTTTTCTCTACGGGTTGACTCTGGCAGCTCCCTTGTCTGCCAAATGAACAAGACCTGGATTCAGATGGGAGTGGTGAGCTGGAGCTTTAGCTGCAGGTGGCGCCACTTCCCGGGCATCTACACCAGCACTGCCCACTTCACCTCCTGCATCAGGGCTCAGGTTTTTGACCTGAGGTTCGTCAGTAGGGCTGACCCTGCCTTTCTGAGCCCAGTTATTCTCACTGGCTACCTTCTGCTGGCCTCCTTGGGCTCCCGTGGCTCCTGTGAGTGGTGTTAAGGACAGCTGCTCCCAGAGGCTGCTTCTCCCTCCCCTGTGTTCTGCCCTTTGAAGTGCAGACCAGAGGTTGTACAGGATGGCAGCAGGGCAGAGCAGCCCCTGGGGAGGGTCCAAGAGCCACTGTTATTTTCTGTTGTTCAATGAAGATGCTTTTGAACTTGAAGCCACTCAAGTGATTGTCTTTCTTCTTGACCTCGGCCAGAACCCTTCACAACCTCCCTAACCCCCAGGAAGTATTGGCTGTTCTCTTAAGCTGAGCCTCCCCTCATAGCGTTATGCCATGTCTGTCTTGTGCTTGTTGTGTGACCCTGGGAGACTGTTCCCCTCCCTCTTCCTCCAAATGTGGGACTGCAGCCCCGGCTTAGTCATCCCAGCACTCCAGCAATCCCCAGGTCCCCATAGCCCTACCCATGAGTATGTGACAGACACTTTCCCTCAGGCCTTCCTGCGAGGGCTGGCCTCTTCCCAAGAACCTCACCATGGTTAGATCACAGACCAGATCACACACTCATGGACCGTGTTCCAGAACCCACGGGCCTCTCCCAAGCCCTCATATCCCTCTGAGGATCTGCAGAGCCTGAACATTCCTCTTCCCTCTCTGGCAGAGGTAGGCGATGTGGGGACAGGGCAGAGTGCCTACCTGGGTGATGAATGTGTGAGGTGACTGTGCCCTGAACTCCTGCGCTGCCTTGATGACCTCTGTTAGACTCTGCAGCATGAGCAAGGCTGGCCCAAGCTAGCCAGGCTGAAGACAGAGCCCTGCCACTGTGTGAGGAATGAGGGGCCCCTCAGACCTAGTGGGCCTCAGGTGCAGAACAGCCAGCCACCCCTATTCCTCAGGGCAGCTGAAGGGTGTAATTTACTGCCTTTTCAATGGAGCATGGAGTGGCCAGCTCGTGTGTAGCCCAAGACCACAGGCCCTCACACATGTTAGAATATCCTGGCTTAATTTAACTTTCACCTTACCTTAAAATTATTTTCTTTTAGAGATGGGGTGCTATGTTGCCCAGGCTGGACTCAAACTACTGGGTTCAAGTGATCCTCCTGCCTCAGCCTCCTGAGTAGCTGAGAGTAGCTGGGATAGGCGCATGCCACAATGCTAGCTCATCTTATCTCTATTAGTCTAGAATTTTCCAACAGCTGTGAGTCCCCCACACAACTTTTTAAATGTATTATCCTCTGGCATCACTGAACCATCAATGTGCTTCCCAAATTGCAACATGCAAAGTGACCTCCTTATTCCACAGGGGCCCCATGGTAAGAACCAGTGATCCTCTGTGGAGAGCCCCTTCACCTGTGCTCTTTCCTAAGCAGATGGATTTTGGGGGGTCAAGGGCATCTGCTGGATGGGGTAGGGTGGGGTGTAGTTGCTTACAATGAAGCAGTCTTTGAAAATCATTATTTCAAATACATCTATCTGCTTAATTTCAGTTCCTTGGGCAAAGCCCCACTGGAAGGGCTGGAGGGAAAGCAAGGTCACTTGGAGATCCTGGATGCCAGCCCCTAGGGTTTGGTCTTCATCTCACTGCAGGAGGGGTGACAGCATGAGCCAGTCCCTGGCAATGGGCTGCAGGGGTGAGGAGGACTGAGAATCGGCCGTGGTTAGGTTGAGGGACTCTTGGAGACTGCCTGGACCAGCGGAGTGAGGAGAGGCCAAGGAGGGAGGTCAGCCGGTGCGTTCAGGCCAGACCCCAGCTCGCGAGGCGTAAGGGAGGGCTGTCGCTAGGGGCGCCCTTGCGGGTCAAACACCAGGAGCGCCTCGGCGCGTGGCCCCCGGGGGGCGCCACGCAGGCGGGGCATTAGGAGCGTCCCCACCCAGCTCACCAGAGGCCGCGGCATGCGACCAACGGGGGGCGCCATCGTGGGGGCGACACCTGGAGCGCCTTCCGGAGAGACGCAGTCGGCTGCTACCGCGGGATGGGTCCCTGGTGCCGGAGGCCGGTATGCAGGCAGTGCCCCCAGATGTCTACCCCCTCCCGCGCCGGTGCCCTGTTGCTGCTGCTGCTGCTGCTGCTGCTGAGGCCCTCGGGTGAGTCCCTCGCGATCTCTCCCCACCATCCCGACACGGCCCTCGCCTTCCACCTCTGATGCGCTTGGCTTCCTCCTCAGGTTGCTGGAGCTCAGGGGAAAACCGGGGGGCGCTGTCCACGGCTGAGCCCTCAGACCAGAGCATCCCCTGTGTCCCCAAGGCCACCTGTCCTTCTGGCAGGCCTCGCCTTCCCCGGCAGGCCGCGACCACCCAGCCACTGCCCTTGACCACCATGCAGACTCAGTCACCAGTTTCTGAAGGCAAAGTCTACCTACACCACTGTGAGTACCATAGACTCCGTGGGGCAAGGAGGGTGACAGAGGAGTCCTTAAGGGACTGGGGGATCGGCAGAAGGGACAGGGGGTGGGCAGGATAGAGGAGCACCTCCTACAGGTGTTCATTGAGCACTAAACACCTGTGGGCCAGGCCTGGTCCTGTCTGGAGGCCCAGAGCTCGGGGTGTCTTGTCCTCGCAGGCCTCCCTTCCTGCTGAGGTAAGGGGCAGGAAAGTCAGAGGGGCCTGGGGCCAGCTGGGTGTTCCCATCCTCCCCGCACCCCAGCTGGCTGTGGGGCAGGTGGCCTCTCACTGTGCTCCAGGTCCTGACCCATCATGCCTCTGACCCAGGCTCCCAGCCAGGGACCCGCAGGATGTCCACCATAGCTTGCAGGCCAGGCTGTGTGAGCCTTCTTGGGGCGTCTCCAGGGCGCACACGGAAGATGTTTCTCTTGATCAGTGGCTTTCAGGCATGTTTAACTGAGACACACATAAGAAAGGCTTATTATTCTGGGACTCAGCACATAGCATTTGACTGCCACAGAAAGTCGCCCAAACAGGACTCATGGCGCCCAATGCTTACATGCCGAAGATTCCGTTCCTGTGTTATCCTTTAAAAAGGCTACTTATGTTTACGATCCACGAATCCATTTGGGAAACACTGGGAATGGGACTGCTGGGATGTTGGAAATGTGATTCTTCAATCTAGAAAACTGCTTTCCAGAGCATCTGCAACAGTGAGCACTCCTGCCAGCTCTGGGGAGATGTTCTGGGTGACAATCCTCACCCACACTCGGTGTCACAGATGTGTTTTTGCCAGGCAGGTGGTACAGAGCAGAATTTCATTGTGATTTAAATCTGCATTTTCCAGGCTGGGGGTAGTGGCTCATGCCTGTAATCCCAGTGCTTTTGGAGGCTGAGGCAGGAAAATCACTTGAGGTCAGGAGTTTGAGACCAGCCTGGGCAACATAGTGGGGACTCCATCTCTCCAAAAACTACAAAAAGTAAAAAAAATTAGCTGGGCGTGGTGCTGTGTGCCTGTAGTCCCAGCTACTCAGGAGGCTGAGGTGGGACGATGCTTTGAGTTTGGAAGATCTTCCTGGGGGTCTGTAGCTACAGTGAGCAATGATCACACCACTGCAATCCAGCCTGGGTGACAGAGCAAGGCCTCATCAGAGCAGGAGGAAGAGGGAAGAAGAGAGAAGAAAGCAGAAGTTGTCCACATTTCCCTGCAGACTGATGTGGCAGAGCAGCTTCTGTGGTCATTTGCTGCTGGGATTTCCTTCCTGGGCTCTGCTCATTTTTCTATTGGGGCATCCACTTTCCTCTCACTGAATCACAGGAAGGGGTTCCCAGGGTGGGGAGAGAGGTCTGCCTTGGCTGAAGTAGGAGACATGGAAAGAGTGGAACCAGGTGGAAATGGGAGGAAGTTAGTGAAGGGTCTGGTTGGAGCCGAGGGTGTGTTGGGGAGGGCAGAGGGCCGGGGGTGCGCTGGGCTGGAAATGCTCCAGGGCCCGGGCTGTGGGAACAGGGAGAGAGATATCTAGGCAGTGCTGGGGCCCTTCTGAGGCATGAGACCCCAGTCCACCTGTGGACAGCATCATTCCATGGTGACGGGTGGAAAGGGAGCACCTCTGGGGGGTGCAGGCCAGTGGCTGGAGTGGGGGGAGGTCAGGCTTGGGGAGGGGAGGGGCAGGGAAAGACCCAACCCTCATCAAGCTCTCATCTTCCTTCTCAGCCTGCGGCTTTTCCAACGAGCCAGACCCCACCCTCAGGGACCCGGAAGCCATGGCTCGGCGGTGGCCCTGGATGGTCAGTGTGTGGGCCAATGGCACACACATCTGTGCGGGCACCATCATTGCCTCCCAATGGGTCCTGACTGTAGCCCACTGCCTGATCCAGTGAGTCGAGATGGAGGTGGGGTGGCTGGAGAGGCATTTGGAACTGCTGGGGCCCAGTCACCCCTCCCTGCCCAGCTGTTCCGGCGGCGGTGTGGCAGTGGCAGCTATGCGCGCTGCAGAGCCCTGTAGTCCCAGCCCCAGCCTTACCTGGCTCCAAGCAGGTGGAGGCTGAGTCCCGAAAATTCCTTCAGGGGTCCAGGCTTTCGAGTGTCCCACCCTTTACTCCCCTCGCATGGCCTCTTGGTCCCGCACAGCCATTCCACAGATGGGAAGTGGAAGTTCAGAAGCCATTTGTCTGGCCTCATGCCTCCTCTCCACAGGACGAAGCTCCTATTTCTTTCATTTCACTCCCTTTGCACCCACATCCTCGTTCCTCCCTTCCCTCGATCAACCATCTCTGACCCTTCTTTGAGCAAGGACCCGGTCTGGGCACTGGGGCAGAGGAGGGATAGATCATTCCACCCAGCTTGGTGGGGGAGACAGACAGGAAGATAGATGCTCACAGGGGCATCTATTTGGTGTGGAGACAAAAGAATGGGTGTTCTGATGTTTTGGGGCAGGGTGCTGGCTCTGAGAGCTTACCAGTGATGTGTGTTCCAGGCCTAAGGGCCAGCATAGAGACTCCAAGGGGTGCCCCAGGGGTGCACAGCTAGAGAGCTAGGCCATGGCCCATTCCATGGAGCTGGAAAGAGCAGAATTGCTCCCTCCAGGGCACAGCATGGGGTGAAAGAGTCCATGCTATGGACTGAGAGTAGTTTGGAACCAGAGAAAACAGGGTCCGCATCCCCTCCACTGCCTCCTCCCTGTGCAGCCCTGAGTGGTTCACTGGGCTTCTCTGAGCCTCAGTTTCCCCCTTCATAAAATGAAGGGTCATGAGGACTGGGCCACACAGTGAGTGTGCAGGGCCCTGTTCACATCTGTAGTGAGGAGTAGGCTCAGGGAGCTCGACGCGGGTGGATGGCCCGCCTGGATCTGCTGGGAGGGCAGCAGTGGGGAGGAGGGCCCAGGCTGGAGGCCGGGGCGGGGGCCTGGAGCTGATGGTGGCCTTCCCTCACGGCTCCCCTAGGCATGATGTTATCTACTCAGTGAGGGTGGGGAGCCCGTGGATTGACCAGATGACGCAGACTGCCTCCGACGTCCCCGTGCTCCAGGTCATCGTGCACAGCCGGTACCGGGCCCAGCGGTTCTGGTCCTGGGTGGGCAAGGCCAACGACATTGGCCTCCTCAAGCTCGGGCAGGAGCTCAAGTACAGCAAGTATGTCTGGCCCGTATGCCTGCCCGGCGGGGACTATGTGGTGAAGGACCATTCCGTCTGCACTGTGACAGGCTGGGGACTTTCCAAGGCAGATGGTGAGTCAAAGCCTCCCCAGGCCAGGGCGGGTGCTGTGAGAGACGACCCGAGTGCAGGCCAGGGTGCCGCCACAGATGGACGTTTCTCAGGGTGCCGCCACAGATGGACGTTTCTCAGGGTGCCGCCACAGATGGACGTTTCTCAGGGTGCCGCCACAGATGGACGTTTCTCAGGGTGCCGCCACAGATGGACGTTTCTCAGGGTGCCGCCACAGATGGACGTTTCTCAGGGTGCCGCCACAGATGGACGTTTCTCACAGATGGACGTTTCTCACAGATGGACGTTTCTCAGGGTGCCGCCACAGATGGACGTTTCTCACAGATGGACGTTTCTCACAGATGGACGTTTCTCACAGATGGACGTTTCTCAGGGTGCCGCTACAGATGG